GCGAGCGACAAACCCGTCGACCAGCTAGCGAGCGAAAACGAGACAGCCGCCGAGAGAGAGAGGGAAACGAAAGAGGGTGAGGGTGAATAGTTGCGAACGGGGTGTGCGGCGGTGTACACACAGGTAAAGACAGAAAGAGAAGAATAACGCGCGTGGACGACGGTGGTCAGTCGGCGTGTAACGGAGAAAGATGAACGTCGAGAGGGGGTAGAAAGAGTAAAATTGGTGGTAGGGGGCGAGAGTGACAGAGAGGGTGCAGTGTTTTGTTCGCGCGCGATGGACGCGTCGCCATAGCGACCGGCGGTTGTTTATTATTGCGTCCAGCGGTCGTGTGGGGTGGCGTGGAAGAGAGCACGGGGTAGTTTACGCGACGAGGGGTGTACGCGGGGGTTGAAAAGGGTTAGGCGGCCGGGGAAGGACGGAAGGACGAGAGAGAGGAAAGAGTGGGAGAGGGTGGAACGGTGGTGTGCAACGAGGGAGTGGCGGCCGACCACACGAGGCCGAAAAACACACTCTCCGCCAAACCTACCCCCTTTTACACCCCCGTACACCACCTCCTCCCTCCCGTTGGTAATGAGAGTTCGATAAAGCGCCTTTACCAGTGCGTGACGTCAAGCGAGTCCTCTCTCTCTCTCTCCCCCTCCGTTTTTATCTCATTTTCTCGCTCTCGCCTATGCTCTCCTCTCCTTTCGCTCCTTCCCTCTCTCTCTCTCTCTATCTACTCTTTTTATTTTTGGTTTTGCTTGTTCGTTGCCTTTTTTCGGTCGCCGTTAGCAGCGGCGAAGTCGCGGCGTGTGACAACAAACGAAACCTCGGAAAATTCGTTGGCGTGAGCGAGTGGGCAAGTGCTAGCACACATTTTTTTCGCGACGATAAAAACGTCGCGGTAGCTTGATGGGTATCATATTTTTTTCGGACCAGGGCCACAAATTTTTGCTGGCCGGTAGCGTTGACGCGGCTCGAGCACTCTTCTCTGCCATGATCGTGTTGGATGCTCTAATTGCTTTCTGATTCCTCGTTTTTTTATTTTCCGTTAGAGCCTCGTTGAAAGACCGGTGCGACGGGTTTGTCGTTTCTTTCACACATTCGATTACTCTTATATTATACTTGTACATCAATTCTCTTACGTTTAAAAAATCTCCAACTTGACCGGACAAATAACGATTGTCCGTGGTCAGCGAATAGAAATCGTAATTAATCCCGAACTTCTTTTTACGCACCTGTTCGAGTCGCTGTGACCCCGTACCCTGACCCCAGAAACTTAGAGCTCCCTTTGTAGGGGACAGACGTTTAAGACGTGCGCTAATTAAGAACGGCATCTCACCACGCAGCTGCCAGCCACGCCGGCGTTGCCCGGGAATTATTAAACGGCCACGAGGAAGCGACATAAGGTCGACGGGTAACCAGAAACAGCAGAGAACACGACTGCTAGAAACTTTGGACCCTGGGGAACGCGAGTGCGCGTGAAAATGCTACCCCTTATGGCAATCTGTAGCAAAATTTCAACTCCCGTTACGCGGCGAGGAAAACTGATTAAATCCTTCAACTATTGCCTACGATTTCTTTCCCTCTATGGGACTCTTCCTTTCAGACATTTAGCATGACTCATTTAATTCATTCATAAATTTAAGCGAAATAAGCTTCAGCGAGTATAACTCTAATTGCGAGTGCGCGGAAAGTATCGCTCGATGTTAAAGTCGCGGAAGCGAGTTTTTGCTAAGAACGTCTGCAGACGTGAAAGACGATTGGGCAGCGGAAGGCCGGAAGTCTATCAGCACCTCGGAATCTGTACCGTCAGCTCGACAACAATTCGCCCACGCGGAGAGCTTCGAGATTACGAGAGCGGAGCGAGGGTGAAACAGATAGAATCGTCG